GAGGTACTTAACTTTTGGCTAACACCCCTTCAGTTTCCCAGAAAGGGGAACTTGGCCTTAAAAAAAAAGTCTTGTAATCGTTCTGACTCACAATTATCTGCTACTAAATGATAAAATCTTAGCAATCTATCTGTTCACTGAATCTATAGGTAACCTAGACTTAAGAGACATTTTTTGTCAGTCTGCCTTAGCTCTTAGGGCTAGCTTTTCCTAAAGAAGGGAGTTGATCCTATAACCAAACAAAAAAAAATAAAGTCCTCAATACCAACTGATTTCCTTTTCACCAGAACTAGACGTCCATGGACACCTTAAACTCAACTGTCACAAATCAAACTCATCATTCACTGATCCCCCCAAATCCTCCCTGCTTCCTAATGTCCCCATTATTGCTGAGAACTCCCCCTCTATCCTCTTAGGCTCTCAGGCTGACACCCTAAGCGTCATTCTCAGCACCTTCTTCTCTCTTACCATCCAATATCCAAACTGTTTCCAAGGCCATTGATTTGACCTTCCATCACATCTCTTGCCTATTACCCCCTGTCTCTTCTGGCATTGCCTCTATCTTGGGGCAGGCCTTTATCACCTCAGGCCTAGACTATGGCTCAGGCCTGCTGCTTGGTCTGACTGCCAGTCCAAACTTTTACTTTCTAAGTGATTTTCCTGAAGCACAAGTCTGATGTCTGTTATCACCACTATTGTTCAATATGGTTTTAGAAATGTTAGCTTTAGCAATAAGAGAAGAAAAACAAATTGAAGGTATTAGAATAGGCAAAGAAGAAACAAAACTATCTCTCTTTGCAGATGACATGATGATATACTTAGAGAATCCTAGAGAATCTAGTAAAAAACTACTTGAAATAATAAAAAAAACTTTAGCAAAGTTGTAGGCTATAAAATAAACCCACATAAATCATCAGCATTTCTATATATTACCAATAAAACCCAACAGCATGACATAGAAAGAGAAATTCCATTTAAAGTTACTGTAGACATTATAAAATATTTAGGAGTCTACCTCCCAAAACAAACCCAGGAACTCTGTGAACCCAATTACAAAACACTTTTCACACAAATGAAGTCAGATCTAAATAATTGGAAAAACATCAGTTGCTCATGGGTAGGCTGAGCTAATATAATAAAAATGACAATTCTACCTAAGCTAATTTACTTATTCAGTGCCATACCAATCAAACTACCAAAAATTATTTTATAGAGTTAGAAAAAATAATAACAAGATTCATTTGGAAAACAAAAGGTCCAGAATATCAAAGGAACTAATGAAAGAAATGCAGGGGAAGGTGGCCTAGCAATTCCAGATCTTAAATTGTATTATAAAGCAGCAATCATCAAAACTGCTTGGTACTGGCTAAGAAATAGAGGGTGGATCAGTGGAATAGGTTAAATATGCAAGACACAGTAGTCAATGACTATAGTAATCTATTATTTGATAAACCCAAAGACCCCAGCTTCTGGGATAAGAACCCTCTTTGAAAAAAACTGCTGGGAAAACTGGAAAAGAGTATGGCAGAAAAGGCATAGACCCAAATCTCACACATATACCAAAATAAAGTCAAAATGGGTTCATGATTAGATATAAAGGCTGATACCATAAGCAAACTGGGAGAACAAGGAATAGTTTACCTATCAGATCTATGGAGAACAGAAGAATTCATGACCAAACAGGAGATAGAGAACATTATGAAAAGCAAAATGGATAACTTTGATTACATTAAATTGAAAAGTTTTTGTACAAAGCCAATGCAACTAAGATTAGAAGGAAGGTAGAAAATTGGGAAAGAATTTTTCAACCAGTCTCTCTGATAAGGTCATTTCTAAAATATATAGAGAATTAAGACAAATTTATAAGAACACAAGCCATTCCCCAATTGATAAATGGTCAAAGGATATGAACAGACAGTTCTCAGATGAAGAAATTAAAGCCATCTATAGTCATATGAAAAAATGCTCTAAATTTATTGATTAGAGAAATGCAAATCAAAACAATTCTGAGGGACCACATCACACCTATCAGATTGGCTAACATGACAAAACAGGAAAATGATAAATGTTGGAAAAGATGTGGGAAAATTGGAACACTAATGCATTGTTGGTGGAGTTGTGAAATGATCCAACCATTTTGAAGCACAATTTGGAACTATGCCCAAAGGGCTATCAAAATGTGCATACCCTTTGACCGAGCAATAGCACTTCTAGGGCTATATCCCAAAGAGATCAACAAATGGGAAAAGGACCACATGTACAAAAATATTCATAGCAGCTCTTTTTGTGGTGGCAAAGAATTGGAAATTGAGAGGATGCCCATCAATTGGGGAATGGCTGAACAAGTTGTGGTATATGAATGTAATGGAATACTGTTGTGCTTTAAGAAATGATGAGCAGGCTGACTTCAGAAAAACCTGGAAAGACTTACATGGTCTGATGCTGAGTGAAGTGAGCAGAACCAAGAGAACGTTGTACACAATAACAGCCACGTTGTGCAATGACTAATATTGATAAACTTAACCCTTCCCAGCAATACAAGGGTCTAAGACATCTCCAAAGCCTTCGTGATGGAAAATGCTATCCACATCCAAAGAAAGAACTATGGAATTTGAATGCAGATTGAAGCATACTGTTTGCTATTTTTTTTCTTTTCTATTGATTTCTGGTGGTCTTCCTATTGGTTCTAATTTTTACTTACAACATCACTATTGTGAATAAGATGTTTATATATATATATATATATATATATATCCTATATCAGATTGTGTGCCATCTTGGGGAGGGTGGTGGAGGGGAAGGGGGAGAAAAATTTTAAACTCAAAAGCATATGGAAGTGATTGTTGATAAATCAAAATAAATTAATTTAAAAAAAAAGAAAGAAAGAAATAGTAGCTGGTAATAATCTCCAAATAATTCTGCCTAGTTTTACAGGCTACCCATCACTTGACACTGATAGTCATGTAGGTCTCTTAGACATTGGGAATCGCATTTTCCTCAACTAAAAAATCATTCTCTTTCCTTCCCAACCCACCCTTTCCCCAAACTTCTCTTCTACTGTTTGGTAGAATTCACTTTCAAGTCCACTGGGCCTTGTGGATGTTTTCTTAGGGAGTTCACTGGTGGTCTGTTCAATTTCTTTTTCTAAAATGGGGTTATATAAGCATTCTATTTCCTCTTCTATTAATCTGCACAATTTATATTTGTGGGATGCTGAGTCCTTATGGAAAATCTCTAAGTCCTTATAGACTTTAGGGATCAGTACTTATAGAGGCTTACCTCAGGATAAACACTCACGTGACTCTTGCCCTAGCTCCATTTGTTATGGTTTGTTGATTCTAAGTTCCCACTCATGCTTAGCCTTGAGGCCAGGTGGCTGGCTCAGGCAGACAATAGGAAGAACTGGGCAGGGAAAACAATAGATATGAAATTTGGCATTAAAACTACTTTCTTATCAGAAAATGAGGATCTTTAGCTGCTTAGGTTGTTTATGTTATTAATTAGCGCTTGTAGATCATTTCTCATGGTACAAAGTTGTTTTCTATAGTATGTAATCATGTAACATCTGAAATAAACTAGTCTTATGAGCATTAGTCTCAGACTCGCCTAGCCTGACTTTTCTTTCTTCAGTTCCACTTCCCCGTTTTCTTTCACCGCTCTGTCTTATATCATGCTGGCTGCTGGCATACATTTTTGTAAATATCCATTCATTTCACTTAGATTGTCAGATATATTGGCAAATAATTGGGCAAAATAGCTTAGTTATTGCTTTTATTTCCTCTTCATTGGTGAGAATTCACCCTTTTCATTTTTGATGCTGGTAATTTGGTTTTTTCCTTTTTTAAAAAAATGAAATTAACCAATGGTTAATCATTTTTTGCATAAAACAATCTCTCACTTTCATTTGTTAGTTTGACGGTTTTCTTATTTTCAATTTTATTAATCTCTCCTTTGATTTTTAGCACTTCCAAATTAGTGTTTAATTGTTCCCCTTCTTCTGTTGAGGACACCACCATTCTTCTCATCCAGTGAGGGTCGCAGCCTTGGTGTCCTCCTCACCTCCTTCCTGTCTCTTCCCACATAGGCAGGCTCTTGCCAATTCTGGAAGGTTCTGCCTCTACACCATTTCTCACTTTGTACCTCTCATCTCCACTCAGGGCCTCCACCCTCGTTTTGCCCTCCTCTCTCTCCTGGAATACCTGCCATAGCTTCTCACTGGTCTCCTTGTGTCAACTCTCTTTCCTGCCCTTCCACCCTACACTCAGCTGCCAAAGTGTTTTTCCTGGAGGGTAGGTCTGACTATGTTACTCCCTGCTCAAGAAACTTCTGTGGCTCCCTGGTACTTCTAGGATCAAATACAAATGCTGCCATCTTTAAAACACCCTCCGTACCTGGCCCCAACCTCCCAGCCCAGCCTTATCCCCTCACGTTCTTTCATATGAACTCTGTCCAGTCACACTGGCCTTACTCTTCTCATACATGACACTTCTCTCCATCTCCCCTACCTCTGTGTCTTTGCACTGGCTGTACCTCCTGCCTGGAGTGCTGTCCCTCCTCACCTCTGCCTCTTGCCTGCCTTGGCTTCATTCCAGACTCAGCTCAATTCCTCTTCTGGAGGAGCCCAGCCCTGGTTCTCCCCACCTCTCACCTGTTGCTGGTTCTCCTCAAAGTGCTTCCATTGGCCTTTTCTCTATCTGTCATCTATAGCTCTTTTCAGGTTATTTCTCCCATTCCAAGGTGACCTCCCTGAGGCCAGTGCCCATGTTCTGGGTTTTCTTTTGCCCCCAGTACTTAACACGATGCCTGCCACGTGGCAATAAGATTCGCTAACAGTCCAATAACACCTACTATATGCCAGGTGCTGTGGTAAGCGGTTTACAGTTATCTCACTTGTTACAACAACCCTTTATGATAACATAAAGATAATAATAACAATGATTGATACTAGTAATAATAATAATAATGGCAGTATTTATTTATATTGGCTTCAAATGTGCCAAATTCCATGTTGGTTTTGTGGCTATTTTTAGTTCCTCATTCCTATAACAAACCTATTTAAGACTTGAAGTATGGTTACTTTCATTTTCTACAGTGAAGTTGACTTGACCGGGGTCCACAGCTGTTTACATTCAAATTTGAACTAGGAACTTCTTGATTCTGAGCCCATCAGGCTCTGCACTCACTTAGCTGCCTAGACCAATTACTGAAAGGGACCTCACAGAAAGTCAGAGAACTCCCTTCATTTATGGATAAATAAATTAAGGCCCATGGAGGGTAAAGGGACTTGGAAGTTTTCACAGGCAGTAAGCCTCAGAGGCAGTCCTCTGACTCCAGAGAACAGATCTTCTCTTCATGATGGGATGAATTCTCTCCTGCTTTCTGAGAAGGAGCCTAGAAGATTCTTCTTCAGGAGAAGGAAAGGTAAGTCACAGAGCCCTCAAAAGGAGGTTCCTGTTTAACCTCTGGGTGGGCTGGGGGCGCCTTTTGTTGGAAATGGCTTTGCTGCAAAGGGTTAGTGTTGATTTTCATGGTAGTCACTCTCCTCAGGCTGTAGGCCTGTCTCAGAAACTTGAGAAGTGCAGCTGATTTAGAACACAAGGTCTAAGAGGCAGACTGAACTGCTGGGGAGGCCATTGCTGCTATAGCTACTCTGTTCCAGTGATCTTCCTTTGTATTTCTTGTCCAGTACCAGATAGTTATTTTTTAATTTTTTTTTTAAATTTTAGGCAATTAGGGTTAAGTGACTTACCCAGGGTCACAGCTAGTAAGTGTCAAGTGTTTGGTCTGAGGCCAGATTGAAACTCAGGTCCTCCTGACTTTAGGGCCAGTGCTCTATCCAATGTGCCACCTAGCTGCCTCCAGATAGCTTTTATAATTACTGCCTTATGATATAGTTTAAAATTTAGTACAGCTAAACCTCTGTGAATATTTTTGAGAAGTCTGTGCCTGTGACTGATTGTAAAATTGAGTGCCCGTCTCCTCCTCAACTCTCTCTGCTCTCTAAAATTTAGTGACACTGCCCTCCCTGGTCCTCCTATCGGGCAGCTCCTCCTCAGGCTCCTTGCCTGGATCTTCATCAAAGTCTCACTCTCTAATTGTGGTGCCCCCCAAGACTTATTCCTGAGTACTCTTCTCTTCTCCTTCTGTGCTCTCTCACTTAGAGATCTTGACTCCCATGGATTTACTTACTATTTCTATGAAGATGATTCCCAGTCCTGCTCTCTCTCCTGAGCTCCAGTCTTCTTACCTTTCCCTCTCCTCCATGAAGTGTGTGACCCAGCTCTCCTGGCCTTGTGGCTGTTACTCACACCTGATGCTCCATCTTCTGAGCTGAGGCTCTGAGGGAGTCAAAGGGAAGAAGCTTCTGCCATTCCTAACTAAGTCTTTGCTCCAGCTGAAAGAGCTTTTGACACCATGGAGATGAAGTAAACATTCTGGGGGAAAGGACATGAAGGGCCCAGTTCTGGAGCTGGGAGATGCCTTGGCCGGGTCTGTCTCCCATCCTTGTGTCCCTTGGGTTGCTGCCCATTCTTTCCCCTCCTAGAATGCTGAGGCATTTGTGGGAAAGTGTGCCCTGGTATAGGGGAGGGGAAATGATATGGGCTGTTTTCTTGCTATAAAGTTTGAGCTGATACCTTATTAAATATCTGAGTCAGGTGGCTGATTGTTAAGGTGGAAGGACATGGATGGAGGCTTGTGGCCTAGTGTTGGGTAAGATGTCCTCTAGAATCCTAGGAGCGAGGGTGTAAGCTGGATGAGTGGGCTCCAAGGGATTGCTACAGACCTAATTATTGATTGATTGACTGATTGCTAGACAATGAGGTTAAGTGACTTGCCCAGGGTCACACAGCTAGTAAGTGTCAAGTGTCTACTGAAGATGAATCCAAGAAATAGAAAAGGAGTAGAGGAAAGCATGACTGGTTTGTAAACAAGCTGGCAGAGATGCTGCTTCTGAAGATCTTTGTGTAACACACCAGGTCAGATGCAGGAGCTGATTTTGAATGACAAAGATGACAATTCAAAGGTTTAGCTTTGGCAAACAGAGCCATGTGTTAGAGACTTGAGTAAAGGAGGGGACAAAAGAATATGTCTAGTGGATTTGAAGGAAAGAGAGGCTTTTAGCCTGGGGCTCAATGAGAGCCATTTGGCAGGATCACCAAGAAGCCTCTCTCACAAGGAACAACATGCTAAGGGCTTTTCCCAGCTTTCTATACTGAAATCAAAAATGAATAGTGTCAACAGGGTTTAGACTGCAGTCCAAATTGGATTGGTCTCTAATCTGGGAATGACCTGAGGGGAACAGAGCAGGCCAGGAGCAGGTGTCTCAGGACACAAAATAGAGGTATAATTTATTTCAGGGTAAGGAAAGTGACTTGCATGAAAGGAAGCCCCCCATCCTGAGAAGAGGGGCTTAACATGTTGGGGTACAGGCAATGCTGATGTACACAAGTGGGCTGGATTATGTCATTTTTAGGTCCTGAATTATTGTGCCCACAGGTCCTGTTGGAACAATATTGTTCCAAGTCTTGGGAGCTGTTGCTACTCTATGCAGTACAGAACCAGAGTTCCGTGATGGGAACAGGAGTACAGTACAAGGAGCAGGGATTATGAGCATGTTAGAGATGTGATGGATGTTGGCTCCCAGGTCCCTGTGAAATAGAGGGAGTGAACATGTGGTGCAAAACACTTTGCCAGAGGGTGAGATCATCCAGAGAGCAAAGGATTGTTGTTATGCCAAGCCCAGGGCACAGCCTGCTTGCTGGGCCTTAGCTCTAGGAAACAGGGTATCTCCAAAATGTTTTGACTAGAGCTAGAAAGAGAACAGACCTTTCTCTTCTTAATGGGATGAATTCTCTCCTCCTTTCTTAAGTGCCCAGATGATTGTTATTCAGTAGAAAGCAAAGTGAATCACAGAGCCCTCAGAAGGAGGTCCCTGTTTAACTTCTGGGCAGACTGGGGTAGTTCTTTTGTTGGAAGGGGCTTTGTTCCAAAGGGCTTGTATTCATTTTCATGGTGGTCACTCTTCTCTGGGCAGTAACACAGTCTCAGAAACTTCAGACCGATAGGTCAGTTTTTTAAAATTTGTATTTATTAAAATTTTCATTTCCAGCATAAAACAAGCATTTCTAAATACATAATAAAGTGATCACACAAATTGCTTTTTTCCTTTTTCCTTCCCTCTCCCGCCCTGCCCTGCCCTAGAGATGGCCATCATTAGGCACACATATGTATATATGTGTAACATCTTTCTATACATACCTCTATTTGTCAGTTCTTTCTCTGGATGCACGTCTTTCATATATGCTTTGTAGTTAATTTGGGTATTTATAATAGTCAAAATGACTTATTTGCTCAAAGTCATTCTTAAAACAGTATTGCTGTTACTGTCTACACTGTTCTCTTGGATTTGCTTATTTTGTTCTTCATTATTTCATGCAAGTCAATCCATGTTTTTCTAAGATCATCAAGCTCATCATTTCTTGTGGCCCAGTTGTGTTCCATCACAATCGTATACCACAACTTCTTCAGCCATTCCTTGATTGACAGGCATCCCTGCAACTTCCAGTTCTTTGTCACCACAAAGAGAGCTGCTTTCATTTTTTTTTAGAACAGATAGCTTCCTTTCCTTTTTTCCTAATCATCTTGGGAAACTAACCTAATGGTGGTATTTCTGGGTCAAAGGCTATATATGCAATTTAGTAACTCTTTGGGCATAATTCCAAATTGCTCTCCAAATTGAATCAGTTCACAATTCTATCAATAATGAATTAGTGTCCAATTTTTTCACATTCCCTCCATAATTCATCACTTTCCCTTTCAATCATTTTAGCCAATGTGATAGTTGTAAAATGATATCTCAGGCTTGAATTAATTTGCATTTCTCTAATCAATAATGATTTAGAGAATTTTTTCATGTGACTTTAAATTGTTATGACTTCTTTATCTAAGAAACTGCCTGTTAATATCCTTTGACCATTTATCAATTGGGAAGTCAGTTGCTAATCAGTCCCTTCTGACCACCACATCAAAGAGGCAGACTGAATTGTAAGAGGAAGCATGGGAGGCAGCCTAGCACTCTGGACAGAAGACTATTCTTGGATCCAGGAGTCCTGGGGTGAATTGATTCTTCAAAGGTGTCATTAACTGTCATTTTTATTCAATTGTTTAAAATTGTTTAAAATTTTTGTTTTTCTGTATTCAAGTATGGACTCTTATGCGCTAGAACATGGTTAATTTATGTATAAAGATGCCATGAATAGCTGTGACAAATGGAACCTCCATTATATTCCCACTCGAGTAATCACAAGAGACCTAAAATATCTTACTTTATACAGATGTATTCAGGCTATTAACTCCCATTCTTTGATTAATTAATATTTTTGAATGATTGAATAAAAGGAAATCTAAACCCATTGGCACCTAAGCTACCAAGGAACCAGTTGGAGACTTAGAGAAGGCCCAAGCCCAGCATTTCTAGAAAAGCCTTTAGCCAACAGTGTTGCCCATAAAAAAGGGAACTGTTTCTACATTCATCCATCAGTCAACCGTCTTGTAAGGTCTTAGATCTGTGCCCAGTTACTTAGTACAAAGGAGCAGAAGGAAAGACACAGTCCATACCCTCCCAGACCATATACTCTGCTTAATCATACTGATAACAAGGGAAAAAGTCAAATCAAGTCAAGAAGCATTTATTAAGCACCTGCTGTGTGCCAGGCATTGTGCTATTAGATACAGGAGTTACCATGAAAAGCAAAAAGCAGTCCCTGCTCTCAAGGAGCTCACAGTCTAATGAGGGAGACCACACAAACCTTAATGTAAAGGAAGATATATGAAGGATGAATTGGAGATAATACTAGGAGAGAAGACACTAGCATTACAGGGAATGAGGAAAGGCTTCTGGCAGAAGGTGAGATTTGAGCTAGATCTGAAGGACACCAGAGGAGATGGGATATAGAGAGGAAGAGGGAGAATTGCAGGTAAGGGAGACAGCCAGTGAAAATGCCTCAAGTAGGGAGGTGGAGGGTATTGTTTAAGGAACAGCCAAAAAGCCAGGGTCACTGGGTGGCAGAATACTCAAGGGAAGGAAGGAGTAAGAAGATGAAAAAGGTAAGAAAGGGCCAGGGTGTGAAGGGCTTTCAACACTAGAGGGTTCATTACTTATCCTAGATGTGACAGGGAGCCACTGAATGTTATCGAACTGGGGGCTGGCATGGTCACACCTGAACTGTAGGGAGATCTTTTCAACAGCTGAATGTCAAATGCTGGGGAGCAGAAAAGCTGGAGGCAGAGACCCTAACCAGGTGATAAGGTTCTGCATGAAGATAGCAGAAGTATCAGAGGAGAGAAGGAGATGGATAGGAGATGGATATGGAAAGGTAGACTGGACAAGACTTGGCTATGGAGACTAGATATGGGAAAGCAGGGAAAGAGAGAATAAGGAGTTGAGAAAGACATCTAGGTTGGAGGCTGGTGCTGTCCGTGACAGCAATAGAGAAGGTAGGAAATTGGGAACACTTAGGGGGAAAGAGAGTGAGATCATTTTTGGACAAGTTGTATTTAATGTCTATGGGGCATCCAGTTCAGAGTGTCCAATTGTCACTAGAGGTCAGGAGAGAGATTAGGGCTGGATCAGTGAAGCTGACAGGTCTCTGCATAGAGGAAAGCATTTAATCCACGTGAGCTGCTGAGATGATGAAATGAAATACAGAGATAGAAGATCAATGAGCAGGAAGTTAATGTAACAAGTCTTCAGGGAGCAGGTAGACCATTGAGTTAGATACTGAAGCATTTGAATAAGTAGAAAGGCTAGAAAAGAGTGTGAGCTGAGCTGTGGGGGTTGAAATGAATGTGGGGTGTGTTGGGAATCAGTCTGACCTGAGAGATCTGTATGAGGAGGGCGAGATGAGGTGTGATGGACACAAGCTGTGTCCTCTTTACTGTGTCATTGCCCAGACTCTGAGACAACACTACTGGTTCCTCGGGCTAAGGGATCATCACTGGGAGCAATTTTCAGGTTCTGTTATCCTGCTCTTCACTGGCAACATCCTTGCTTGTTCTTAGCAGCTCCCTGGTTGGGTTCCTGTCAGCCATCATCTGGACCATGAAGTGGAATCACCAGCCAGCTTCCTACAACAGCCTCATTCTACCTTTCTACCTCACGCACCTCATCCTTGTGCTTTCTGGTATTCCTAGCTCAGGTAAGTTGACTTTAGTCTGTGTCACTGTGGCCTCCACAGATCTCTACCCATTGATATTTAAATTGAATTAAACCATAAATTCAAGAAATATTTATTAGCCCCTCAGCACTCAGAGCCCTGTGTTGTAACACTAGTGGAGGTACAAAGTTTAGACAAGGCATGGTCACTGAGGTCAGGGTCATCATCCCCCTCCTAGGCACCTCCACCACTATCTGCAATGTGGTAACACGGGACTGTGGAGTTTGAAGGGATGTCATTCAGTTCAAACCCTTATGTTACTAGGCCCTGAAGGGAGGAGACGAAGAATAGAAGGATGTCTCATAATACAGACTCAAAATGTCAGCAAGTGGGAGACTAAGTTACTACTGTTCAGTTCAACTCTTGAAGAGGATGGAAACTTTTGACATTCTTGTATATAATATAAGTAGTCTATGACAGCAATATGGAATATCTCTGACAATCCATCTAAACTTAGGCACTTTAAATTTCTCTCTGCTCTACTAACAGATCACATGAAATATTCATAATATAGGAAAACAAGGGAATATTTGCCAACCTGGAACATAGCCCACAAAAATCCAAGCTTTTGTGGCTGGCAAATACATTTATATAATCACATATTATATCTGTGTAATGTATACTAGATATCTAATATATGTGTGTCATATATGTGTATATGTAAGTGTGTATGTAGGTGCATATATACACATACATATGTGTATACACATATATACTATATATATACAATTGTGTGTGTGTGTGCGTGTGTGTGTGTGTGTGTGTGTGCATAAAATAAAGGCAGGAACTTGGATGCTCCCTGATTCACCTCACTTTGTTTCTTGCTCCCTTGAATCACCCTTTTTCTGTCCATCCAAAAAGATCTTGGGAGCTAGTGGGACTTTGAGACAAAGAATCCTCCACACAGATCTTTGGGGGATTGCTGGGCACTCCCCAGCATGGGTTTTAGAGATATAAGCTCACAGCCAAGAAACTGCTGGGAATTTCAAGGAATTCTGTTATTCCAAGTAACCTCATCCTCTGGGAGCAGAGATCCTAAACCGCCATACTTGGCCAGGGATTCAGCCAAAGCCATCAGAATGTGACAAACTAAGATTGGCTATTTTTTAAATCTATCAGCAAGTATATATTAAGTTCATCTTACGTGCCAGGGGTTGTCTTTTTTTTTTTTGTCTTGTCCAGTGCTTCCTTGGGATGCTTGGTTCCAGATAACTGTGTGACTGGGGATTGAAAAATCCCTCACAACTTCTATGAGATAGTTGCTTCAGAGTCTATGTTCCCCAAACCTACTTTTGGGCCTTCTCGCCAATCCTAGTCCCTCAGACCCCAGCAGCTATCCAGGATTGTTTGTAGGTTTGGACACAAAGAGTAAACCTTACTACCAAGATCTCTTTTGATTGGCACTGAAAGAAATCTGGGGACAAGAAGAATTAACAGAAGCAGAGTGTCCACGTTTCTACCGCTGTAAGGCAAACCTGCCAGCAACAAAAGTACTGATCATTTATGTCCAGCAGAGATCTCCCTGGTCTCCCAACTGGACAGTAGAGAGAACCAGAGAGTCACAAAGCATTAGAGCTGGGATGTCCTTTATATATCCTCTGATCTGATCCCCAGGCCCGTTTTACAAGTAAGATAACTGAGGTGGGGCCAGGTGGGATTAATGTGACATAATTGAAGCAGGGCCTGAATCTAAATCTTCTGACATTCAGTCGAAGATTTCCAGGATTCTGCTTCTCTGTGACTAACAGGACTTCTCTGACTTCTGTTCTATCCAGAGGGAAGAAGAGGCTTTAAGTGAGGTCTGAAAGGCTTTTATGTCTGGGCAGGTTTCCTTCAGGGGCTCAACAAAGCACTTTCCAAAGTCTCCCTCCCTTCCCCACCAAGGGGACCAGCATGTGCTGGTGATAAAGGCCCTGGACCTGAAGGAAAGCCACTGCTGGGGAAGGAAGAGCAAGACTGAAAGGTGTGGAGCAAAACCTCAGGCCATGCCAGGTCAGGACCCAGAGCTTTTCAAGGAGATGCCACATACAGGGCACTGAGGAAGACAGGACCTGGATGAAGGTTTCAGGTAGAAAGCTCAGCCAGGTTTCCAGGAGGCCCAGGACCAGCAGTGTCAGTGAGATGAGTGTCTGATGCAATCTGCATCCCAGGAGCTCTGCCTTCCAACCCCAGCACTGACCATTGCCCCCTCCTGCCTCTCTCTGATGGGCAGACTTCTGAAGGTGCTGGTGTCCATGCTAGGACCTGCCCTCTTGACCTGTGTGTGAGTGAGGTTGTCAGAACAAATGTCATCTACAGATGTAAGGGTCCCATCTCTTCTGATCCAGACCCACCCAAGAAAATAGGAAAGTTAGAATGTGTCATTGAGGGCACAGCTGTTTCTTCCCTTCTGACAAGAGGAAAAATAGCCAGCTTTTTTTGTGGGCTCTGTAGCAAAGAGCTTCAGAGAGATTCTCCCCAGGGACACATACAACCAAAGGGAATTTTGTTATTGTTGATTGACTTCAGGCATGTTTGACCCTTTGTGACCTCACTTGGGGTTTTCTTGGCCAAGATGCTGGATTGGTTTGTCATTTCCTTCTCCAGCTCATTTTACAGATGAGGAAATTGAAGCAAACAGGGTTAAGTGACTTGCCCAGGGTCACACAGCTAGGAAGTGTCTGAGGCAGAATGTGAACTTAGGAAGATGAATGTTCCTGATTCCAAGGCTAGTGCTCTATCCATTGCACCCTCTAGTTGCTCTAAAGGAAATACGAAGATAGAATCATAGTTTTAGAACTGGAAAAGGCCCCAGAGATTATTAAAATCAATCCTATTATTTTATTGAAGTAACAGAAGCCCAGAGAGGTCTAGTGACTAGTCCAAAGTCACACAGCTAGTCAATAACAAAACTATCATTTGAACTCAAATCCTTTCCTTCCAGGCCCAGGATGCCATCACTATAGTGACACCCTGGAAGCTCCCCACATTCCCATAATCACGCTCCTCCTCCCCCCACTGACCTGCACTGCTCTGTCCCACAGAGGTCTCCCACAGCTCTCTGGCCCAGCCTCCTTCTAAAACACTCAGCTGCACAGCCACAGAATGAGGGCAAGTCCAACAGCAGCCCAGATGCCTGGTTTTTATTATCCATGGGCAGCTTCAGGGGTGGGGCAGAGGCTGGTGCCTCTGTGGGGCCAGTGACAGCAGCTGTTGCTTCCTGCCTCCACCCCAAGCTTTCAGCCCCCAATCAGCTGCCCTGGCTCCCTGAATATACAAAGGTAGTGAAGGGGAAGAATGTCTTGTCTCCATCTCACAGATGTGTCATAGAGTGGAAAGTGATTTCACCAAAGGGGGCTAAAACAGAGCAGCCCCTGAGCAGGAACACATTGAGAGCTTCCTGGTCCTGGGCTGCCCTGACCCCTGCTCTGAAGGCCACATTAACTCCTCCACCTCAGTGCTCTCTGATTCTCTGCTCTTTGTCCCTGGTTCTGCACACAGGCACATTCACAGTATCTGGCCCTCTGGTCCAGCCCATCCGGGCCTGGGTGGGGGAAGACGTCCAGCTCTCCTGTCACCTCTCTCCTAAGTTTGATGCTCGGGGCATGACTGTGAAGTGGGTCAGAGGCCCACTGGTTGTGCACTTGTACCGCATGGGCCAGGAGATGGAGGAAGTCCAGGCCCCTGCATTCCAAGGCAGGACAAAGATGCTGAGAAAGGACATGGCTGAGGGGAAGGTGACCGTGATCATCCATCAGGTCCAGCTCTCTGACACTGGCCAGTACACATGTTATTTCCAGGAAGGCTCCTTTTATAATGAAACCAGCTTTCACTTTCAGGTAGCAGGTAGGTCCTATGTGGGTCATGGATTCTCTCTAGAGCTAGAAGGGACATTCAGACATTGGCATTGGCCCAGATCTTTAGAGTGTCTAAGGTATTTTCCATACAGAGTTTCACTGGAGTCTCACAACTACCTTCTGGGTTAATATTTCTGTCACAGTGACTGAAGTCTGGGTCTGTTATCTTTCAGCCCCTCAGAGTCCTCTGGTACCTTTAATGGAGTTTGGGGTATCCAGCCTCTCTGTCACTGGGTCAAGCCTCCTCAGTGAGGTTCCCCCAATTTTAGAGGCTCTCACACAAATAAGTATGATAATCAGTTATATATGCTAAGTGGATTAACAAGGTGAAAATTAAATGATATTCAATTAAATTCAACAAACATTAACTATCTACTTTGTATGACACTCTGTCCGAGATAATATTTAACAGTGGGTATTGTTACAAATGAGGGAATCAGGAAAGGCTGTATGCGGCCGTGACATCTAATTATATTAAATAATAGTGGTGATAATGGACTTCCTTGTTTCACCCTCAACCTTATTGGAAATGCATCTAGCTTATCCTCTTTACAAATAATGCTATGTATAATTAGAGGATGGGGAACTGTTAAAGAGAAAGAGGAAGGCATCCCACTCACCAGAAACAGAATCATCACCATCACTATCACCATCATCTTCATCTCTAGCATATCTAGAATGCTTAAATGTTGGCAAAGTGCTTTATGAATAATCAATAACATTTATTCAACACCTACTATGTGCCAGGACTGTGCTAAGCACTGGGGACACAAAAGAGTTTGTGAAAGTCAGTCCCTGCTTACAAGCTAATGGGGGAGAGAACATGCTAACAAATATACACAAAGCACAGTACATACAGGACAAAGAAGAAATAAAGAAAAGGTGAAGGCACTGGAATTAAGAGGGGTTAGCTAAGGCTTCCTGTACAAGGTGTGGTTTCTGTTAGGACTTGAAGGAAACCAGGGAGGTCAACAGTCAGAGGGGAGAAGGGAGAACATTCCGGGCTTGGGGAGCAGCCAGGCAGAATGCCCAGAGCTGAGACATGGAACATTTTGTTGGTGGAATGGCCAGGAGGCTGGCGTCACTGCATTGAAGAGTATGTGTTGGGGAGTAAGATGTAAGATCAGGGTGGTATGAGGGGTCTGGGTTATGGAAGGCTTTGAATTCAGAACAGGGCATTTTGAATTTGCTCTCTGAGGTAATAGGTAGGCATTAGTGTTTATGGAGTAGCAGAGGGACATGATCAGACTTGGACTTTGGGAAAATCCCTTTAGTGGTTGGATGAGGGTGGATTGGAGTGGGGAGAGACTTGAGGCAGGCAGAGCCACCAGCAGGCTACTGCAGAAATCAAAGCATGACGCAAGGAGGGACTGTGCTAGAGTGGTGGCTGTGGGAGTGGAGATATTTCAAAGGTGAAATTGAGAAGCCTTGCAAATGGATTGGGTGTGGGGGATGAGAGATAGTGAGGAATCCAGCATGACTGCTAGGTTGTGAGGCTAAGGGGCTGGGAGGGTGGTGGTGTCCTCTACAGTCATAATGAAGATAGGACATGGGGAGCACAGAGGGGGAAAGAGGAGTCCTGTTTTGTACATATTGAGTTTAAGATGTCTACTGGACATCTAGATTGAGATGTCTGAAAGGCAGTTGGAGATCTGACATTGGAGGTCAGCAGAAAGACTGAGGCAGGAAATGTGGACTTGAGAATCATCAGCAGAGAGACAGTAATTAAATCCATGGGAATTGATGAGATCATCAAATTAAGTCCTGTAGAGGGAGAAGAGAAGAGCCCTGGGCACAGAAGTCTGAGAGACAGCTCCAGTTAGAGGGCAGGGTCTGGATGAGGATACAGCAAAGGAGACAGAGAAGGAGGAGCAGTCAGCTAGGTAAGAGGAACACCAGGAGAGAGAGGGCATCCTAAAAACCTAGAGGAACCAGAATATCAAGGTGGAGAGAGTGATCAGCAATGTCAAAGGCTGCAAAGAGAACAAGGGAAAGGAGGATTGAGAAAAGACATTTGGATTTGGCAGCTAAGTGACCATTAGTGACTTTGGAGAGAGCAGTGTCAGTGGAATGAGGAGGTCAGAAGCCAGACTATAAGAGGTTAATAAGAAAGGGTGAGGAGAGAAGGAGGCACCTCTTGTAGAAGGCCTTTTGGAGGAGTTGAGCTACAAAGGGAGGGAGAGGTATAAAGAATTAGGCATTAATTTATTCCCATCTTGCAGAGAAGGAAACTGAGACAGACGGGGATTCAATGCCTTGCCCAGGTCACCCAGCTAATAAGTGTCTGAGATCAGATTTCAAACTCAGGTCTTCCTGACTCTAGGACCAGAGCTCTCCCCACTGCACCACCTAGTGGCCTCATCAGCAAAGGCATGTTAGGTGAACTCAGGTCCTCCTTACTCCAGAACTGGTGCTCTATCCACAGCACCACCTAGCTGCTCCTATTTCTATATATTAAAAACAAAGTCCAGCAAGAAGTGATAAAGAGTTTACTTTTAAAATAACTGTAGACAATATAAAATATGTGTGAGACCACCTGCCAAGACAAACTCAGGAACTATATGAACATAATTACAAAACTCTTTTCTCAGAAATAAGGTCAGATCTAAACAACTGGAAAAATATCAATCTGTCATGGGTAGGCTAAACATTAGCATTAGCATTAAATGACATTTATACTTAAATTAATGTACTTAATCAGTGCCATTCCTTTTTTAATTTAATTTATTTATTTTTAGTTTTCAACATTCACTTCAATAAGATTTTGCATTTTAACTTCTCTCCCACTCCCACTTCTTCACCCCCCCACCCTGAGATGATGTACAATCTGATATAGTCTCTACATTTACATTTATGTTAAGTATATTTTCTCGTTATGATGTAAGGAGCAATTAGAACTGTATATTATTCAGTGCCATTCCAATAAAACTACCAAAAACTTATTTTTTAGAGCTTGAAAAAAATAATAACAAAGTTCATCTAGAAGAATCATAGGTCAAGAATATCAAGGAAATCAATGGGGGAAAAATACAGTGGAAGGTAGCCTAGCAACACCAGATCTAAAATTATATTGTAAAGTCTTAATCATCAAAAGTATTTGGTACTAGCAATGAAATAGAATGATGGATCAGTGGAATAGATTAGGTACACAAGACACAGTAGTCAATGACTATAGTAATCTACTGTTAATAATCCCTAAGACTTGAGCTTCTGAGATAAGAACTCACTATTTGAGAAAAGCTGCTGGGAAAACAGTATATCAGAAACGAGTCATAGACCAACATCTTTTTTTTGAGGCAATCAGGGTTAAGTGACTTGCCCAGGGTCACACAGGTAGCAAGTGTGAAGTGTCTGAGGCCAGATTTGAACTCAGGTCCTCTTGACTTCAAGGCTAGAGCTCTATCCACTGCACCACCTAGCTGCCCCATGGACCAACATCTCACACCATATACCAAGATATGTTCAAAATGGGTACATGATTTAGATATAAAGAGTGATACTATAAGCAAAATAGGAGAGCAGATTTATGGAGAGGAGAAGAATGTAAGACCAAATAAGAGAAAGAGAACATTAAGAAATACAAAACGGATAATTTTCAATACATTAAATTAAATTTTTTTATACAAAGTCAATGAAACCAAGATTAAAAGACAAGCAGAAAGCTGGGAAATAATTTTTATAACCAGAGTCTCAGATAAAGGCCTTATTTCTCAAATATATAGAGAACTGAGTCAAATTTATGAGAATACAAGTGAAAAAAAAGAATACGTCATTCTCCAACTGATAAATGGTCAAAGGATATCAATATGCAGTTTTCACATGAAGAAACAAAAGCTATCTATAGTCAAATGAAAAAAATTATCTATATCACTATTGATTACAGACATGCAAATCAAAGCAGCTCTGAGGTAGCACTTCACACCTATTTGATTGGCTAATATGACAAAAAAAGGGAAATGAAAAAAGGAAAATGGAGAAGATGTGGGAAAATTGGAATACTAATACATTGTTGGTGGACTTGTGAACTGATCCAGCTATTTTGGAAAGCAATTTGGGAACTATGTCCAGGGGGCTATAAAACTGTGCATACCCTTTGATTCAGCAATACTACTTCTCAGTTTGTATCCCAAAGAGATCCTTAAAAAAAGGAAAAGGAGCCACATGTACAAAAATATTTATAGCAGCTCTTTTTGTGGTGGCAAAAAATTGAAAACTGAGGGGATGCCTATCCATTGGGGAACGGCTGAACAAGTTGTGGTATATGAATGTAATGGGAAACTACTGTTCTATAAGAAATGACGAGCACCCAGATTTCAGAAAAACTTGGAAACACGTAAGTGAACTGATACTGAGTGAATTGAGCAGAACCAGGAGAACATTGTACACTGTGACAGCCATATTGTGATGACTGACTTTGGTAGACTTAGTTCTTCTCAGCAACACAATGGTCTAAGACAATTCCAGAAGATACATAATGGGAAATGCTATCCATATCCAAAGAAAGAACTATGGAGTCTGAATGCAGATCAAAACATATTATTTTCTCTTTTTTTTCTTCCTTATGGTTTTGGTTTTTTTTTCTGATTCTTCTTTCACAACATGACTAACATGGAAATATTTTTGAATTGATTGTACATGGATAGATGATATCAGATTGCTTCACATCTTGGGGAGAGGGGAGAGGACATAGGGATGGAGAAAAAAGTTCAGAACTCATATTTTCAAAGTGAATGTTGAAAACTATCTTTACATGTAACTGGAAAGATTAAAATATTATTAAGTGGGAAAAACAGAGAAAGGCTATATCCTACAGCTGATAGTTTAGTAACTATAGAATTATCCACAGAATTAAAGCTGGAAGGGGCCTTAGAGGACATTTTTTCAAACTCATTCCTTTTACAAAGGAAGAAATAGAAGCTCTGAGATTTTAGTACATACTACATACCAAGCACTGAATATACAAATACAAAAATGAGACAGTTCCTGCCCTCACAGAGCTTCCATTCCAACAGGAGGGACAAGAGGAGGAGAGGAGTGGGGGCCAGGGAAGGGAGCTGTGCTTTCGGGAGTTTGGGGAGTGGAACAGTAGAACAGTTCATTGACTTTCCCCAGAGGCAATGGTTAGGGTTGCTTCAGTTACAGTGCTCAGGACAAGAGTAGAAAGTTAAGGAGAGTGTTTGGGACTGGGGGAAATGATGGACCTGCAGCATCAGAGTGGAAAATGACCAAGGAGATTCTTAAAGAGGGGAAAGGCCTTGCATGCAGTTACACAGGAGGGTAATGGCAGAGCCAGGTCCAGAAGCCAAGTCTCTCAGCTCTCAGATTCTCTGTTCATTACACTCTGGGAGTGTCCTGTTAAAGTCTAGATATTTCTGGCAGGGACTGGCATATTAAGCCATCTTCTGTCATAACTCCTTGGCAAGAATGAGTGGATCAGAAATTTGCCAATGCTAGCCACGTGAGATCCAGATGAGGACACCAGACAGACTTATCCATCTATCCAGGTGACCAGACTCCACACCTTCCCAGGAAGCTGAACCACTCCCCCACATGGAGCCCTCACCTGGCTCTGTGGCCCACCCTCCTTCTAGCTCAGCTGCACAGCCAATAATCACGTAAGAGCCAGACAAACACCAGCCTGGGATCCCTCTGCACTTGTAAGTTACCTGTGGGCAGTGGCAGAGCAAACAGGGCCTCCAAGAGGCCATGTATGACATTTGTTGCCTTCCTTTCCCCACCCCCAACCCTCCAGCATCCAAAAAGCTTCCCTCCCTTTCTGACATAGGAAGCAGTCAGGAGAGAGAATGTCTTGTCTCCAAGGGGATCACAGGAAGAAAAGTGATTTGCCCGAAGTGGGCCCACAGCAGAGCAGCAGCTGATCCAGAAGTCAGACCTTCATCTGCTGGGGCCCCCAACCACACAAACAAACACTCTTAATTCTGGGCCTACGTTGTCCTCTGATTTTCTTCTCCTCTGTCCCTAGAATGCCAGAAAGGAGCATTCTCAGTGACTGGCCCTGCTCAGCTCATTCAGGCCAAGCAGGAGGAAAGCGTCACACTCTCCTGTCAACTCTGCCCTAAGATGGATGCTCAGGACATGACTGTGAACTGGTTCAGAAACCAGACCCTTGTGCACAGCTACCCTGCTGGGGAGAAGCAGCAGGAATCCCAGGGCACTGGGCTCCAGGGGAGGATGGAGCTGCTGAAACATGACATGGCAGGGGGGAAGGTGACCTTGAGGATCCAGCAGGTCCAGGTCTCTGACTCTGGTCAATACACTTGCCGTGTCCAGTCACCTGACAGTTGTGATGAAGCCCATATTGAGCTGCAGGTAGCAGGTAGGTCCTGTGTGGTTTATGGGTTTCTTCTGAACCACAGACTGTTAGAGCGGGAAGTGACTTTTAAGAGCATTGAGTCAAAACCCTCTCATTTAACAAATGAGGAAAGTGGGACCCAGAGAGAGGAGAGGCTTTGCACAGGATCATACAATTTGGAAATGTCTGGGCTGGGAATCAGACCCAACTCTTCTCACTCCAGATCTGGCCATTTTCTTCTCCCTGACCCATTGTTTGGATCCTCCATGCATGAAATCACAGGCTTTGAGAAAGAGACAAACTCACTTTGGGAAGTGAATCTTAATTCATGGTTTCAATTCTCTTCCAACCTTCAAATCCTTCAGGCCTGGAGTTTCCCACTAGAAGATGGTGGAGGCCTCCCCTTTGTCCTGGTGCTCAAAAATGGGGATGATTTTATTCTTCCTCTCAAAGATGCCAGGTCTCAGCTGGTCCTCCAAAGCCATACACTGAGTAGTGTAAGAAGGGTCTGAGGCCTTCTTAACTATCATTTGCATGGCTTCTCTCCACATTGGCCTAGTGACAAATGTTTCCTAGATGCCTTTTCTGTGCCCAGCCCCGTGCTAGCTGAGGCTGTAGGAGAGAGAAGGGAGGAAGGCCTGACCTCATGGCTTGATGGAGCTGGAGAGATATAATACTCAATCTGATTAAAAATAATTCGTGTATGGCAGAGGGCAAGGGAGTGTGGCAGAGTGGGTGGAGTGCTGGACTTGGAGGCAGGAGGAACTGGGTCCAGATGCTGCCTCTGACTCTTATTCTCTGTGTGACTATGGGCAAGTCACTGAAAGTCTATGCCAACTTTAAAAAAACACCTTTCTAGCTGTTCCCATGCTGACAGAGTCATAGGCCCTTAATGTATTGATGTATATACCTAGATCCTGAATAGTCCCAATTTAATATATTTCATTTCATATTAATTGAATTCATAATTAAATGAAATATAGTCATTGGTTCCAACCCAATGGAAATATACAGTAGGATTTCAAATAATGCAACCATTTCAGGAGATCCTTCATCAAACTAAGCTGGATCTCCCTCTATAATGAAGTGATAGATCATTTGGCACATAGCTTAGTTCAATTCCAAAAACTTTTATTTCAATACAATTTAGTTCAATTTACATTCATTTACATGTTTAGTTCAATCCCATATAATTTAGTTCCATCCCAAAACTACTATGTATTGGACTCTTTACTTTAGTGGGGGAAATAGAGAGTTCAGATAAGACATTTCTCACCTGCTCTCAAGTTGTTCCATTTAGGAATAAGGCAGCTTAGGATAAGAAAGCAGGACACGTAATTGCAACATACAGTAATACCAAATAAGTACATGAGAAAGGAGAAAATGAAATGAGATGTGAAGACTGATGGGGAAGGTGTTAGTGACACAGGAATCAGGGAAGACTTCCTAGAGGCAGTGATGATTACATTGGATTTGAAAGGAAGAGGAGAAGGAAGGGCATTAACAGTACAGGGAACTGCATGGGCAAAGGCTTAGCAGCGGGAAGAGCAGGGCATTGTTAGGATGTAAGGTTTGGTCCAGGCTGACCAAAGCACAGAGCACACAGAGGAAGAAGGGAGAAGGTTAGAAGGGTAGGATGACACCAGATCGGGGAGGTTGAGCTCATTATAAAAGCCACGCTAAGCAGGGTGAGCTCCACAGTACAGAGCCCCTGAAGATTTCGGAGGGCAGGAATGGCCTGAGCACAACTGTGTGCAGGGCAGAGGAGCCTGGAGGCTGATGGAGGGTGAAGGGAGGCAGTGGAGGTAGGGAATCATGTGTGGAAGCTAATGGAAGACTCTAGGCAAGGGGTAAGGAGGACGTGGGCCAACATAGTCCCAGAGAGGCTAGAAAGGATGGGAAGGCTGGGAAAGCTGTACTGGAGGCAGGAGGAAGAAGGATTGGCAGTGGTTTTGATCCTCAAGGTGAGGGAGAGAGTGAACATCAGAGATTCCTCAAAGGGCAATGGGTGAAGCACAGTGCCTCTGATATAAGAATGGTGAAATCAGAAGGAGGGGCAGGCTTGAGAAGGACAAATATAAACTCAGTTCAGGGAGTGTAAAGTGCTGAAAAGACATCAGGATGGAGACGTTCTGAGGGGAGGTGGAGATAAGGGTGCTGAGCACAGAAGAAAGTCAGGGCTGGAGAAGGAGATCTGAATGTCATGTGGTTTGAGGCAGGGAATAAAATTGCCAAGAGCACAATTGTTTGAGAGAAAAGAGGCTTAAAAACAGAGGCTTGGCCAACATCTACCTTAACTTAATGTGGTGGAGATAAAGATTCAAGAAAACAGTCAGAAATGGGAGGAGAACAGGAGAGTGTCTTGTTGTCTCTGAGGTCAATGGAAGAGAGTAAGAGAAAATAACCAAGAGGAGGCTGGGGATGGCCAATAACATCAGATACTCCAGAGGGGTCAAGGATCCATGTGTGAGGAGGCCAGTGAGGACTTCAGAGAAAGCATTTAAACAGAACGATGTGAGGGAGAAAGCCAGACTGAAGGGCATAGAAGAGAAAGCGTGGTAATGAGGCAGTAGGGACTTTTTGGCAACTTTGGCTCCAATTTTAGCAGTGAAGGCAGTTACTGGATGGGGGTAAAAACATCATGAGAAGCCTTATGGCTGGGGAGTCTCAGGCCAATGAGAAGGAGCCACTGGAAAAACAGACCCAGAAGGTAAATGAGAGAGGGGATGATTATAAAGCAGGGTCCTAGGGGAAGGAAGGACAAAAGGGGACAGGATCAGTGGTACCAGGAGAGGAATCAGCTTTAATGAGCAGGGGGGCTCCTTTTAAATGTATAAAGATATTATCATGTAACTTTTTTTCCTTTCATTTTCTTTCCCCCTCACCCTGGAGACGACTATCATTTGACTTGAATATGTGTATATATGTGAAATCATTCTCTACGTACTTCTACTTATGTCTTCTTCCCTTCATAGTCAAAGCAACTGAATAGCTCAAAGTTATTCTTAAAACAATATTGCTGTCACTGTATACAACAGTCTCTTGGTTCTGCTCTCTTCACTCTCCATTATTTCAAACAAATCTATCCTTGGCCCCTACTGAGGCAGCCCCTCCCACCTGGGGCGGCTCACCTGAGCTGGAAGCCTCAATAGGCCTCCTTATCACTTCTACCTGTTGCTCCCAATTCAGCCTCTAGGACCAAAAGGAAGAAATCAGGCCCCTTCCCCAGGTCATTGGTTCATCTGGTAGAAGTCAGAGATGAGGGGTGGGGTCTCTAAGCAGTTGGAGGGCTGTCTGTACCCCACAAGCAGACCCCACAGTGTCATCTGGTTCACACACGTCTTTACAGGAGTTAAGCTCATTTCTCCGCCTAGACAGTGAGCTCCTCAGTGACAGGGCCTACATTGTTTGGCTTCTCTCCCCTGCTCCTTCCCTACCCTAAGACTAGGGCAGGTCTGGGCAGGCCCATAGCAGGATCTCAGTAGGGACAACTTACCTTCATAGAAAAACCCTGTTCTGAAGTATTTTAGGAAGAGTCCTGAGGCAGGAAGAGTACATTCATAGACTGAGGACCAGGTTTAACTCTGGCTTTTGGCATCATCCAGCCTCAAGAGAATGTCCCTCTGGCCATGGTTACAGCTCAGAAGATAATTAGCCCCCTAAAAATCTGCCCTTCTATAGAACAGAGCAGTTCACATCTGGCATTCCAGGTGGAAAGGACCTTATTTATCATTTAATTCAAAGCTCATTTCACTTTTGGGAAACTGAGGCCCAAAGCAGCAAAGGAACTTATTTACCTTAAGTGCCTGGGAAGAACCAGAGATGGGATGTGACCCTAGTTCTCCTGACTCCGAGTCCAGCTTCCACTTTTGTTTGAAAGCAGGGTCTCCATTTCCTCCTTTCACCAATCTCTCTAGCACAGGCTGCCACATTCATCTCCCTAAAACACAATTGTGGTCATGTCACTTCAGCTGCTCAAGAAACTTCCATGGCTCCCTATTTTCTTAAAGTCTTCCACAATCTGGCCCCACCATAACAGTCCAATGTCATGGCCCTTCTTCTACTCTATTGTCCATGTTACTGATGAGGACAGTGAAGCACTGGGCTCCTGGGAGGTTGGGGGAAGGAAAGGGTATTAAAAGAGGAGAAAGATGCTGACAGAGACTATTTTGGCATTGAAGAATGTTATCTCTGGAAGGGACCTCGAGGTTATCCAGCCCCACTTCCCCCTTTTTACAGAGGAAGAGACTGAAGCTCAATGACCTGTTGGGGTTCAATTAGCCACCAAGTGACAGTCACAATTTGCAACTAGATCTTCTGATTTTCCAAGGCTGGGGCTGTTTCTTGTCTCCTGTATCACACTGCTGCCCCCAATCCCCTCCTTTTATAGATGGTCAAACCAAGGTCCAGAGAGGGCAATGGACCAGTGTGACCATTTAGTGGAGGGCTGACCCCAGGGCTGCTGGAGTCCAGGCTGCTCAGCTGAGAGCCAGAGAGAGCTTCTCAATGGGGATGTAAGAACCAAACCCAGAATGGACTTCAGAAGAGAGTAGCATCCTCTGGAATCAGGAGACCTGGGGCCTGGTCTTGTCTCTGTCATTACCTCCATGTAACCCCTTGGACAAGTTTCTTCTTCTTTCTGCTCTCTGGCCCTCTCTCTAATGATGGGGTTGACTAGATGTGCCCTAAGTGCCCATCATCCCCTGAAAGTCTCTGACTCTATAAGGACACAGCTGTGAGGTGGTGGGAAGAGGCCTGAATTGGGAGTCAGAGGACCCAGGCTTCAGCCCTGGCTCTGTGATTTACAAGCTGAAGGATGGAGGCCTCTCTCTCCCATTTTCCTTCCTGTAAACAGAGGCAGCCGGGCTGATTCTCTCTAAGCTCTCTTCCAGTTCTCACATTATGTTCTCTGAAGTCCTGGGGGGAAGCTTGTTTTTCAGGGGTGTTTAAAGGCTGGTGGAGGGGAGGAAGATGGCATCATCTGAGCACAAAGCCACCATCCTTGCCCAGGATTTCCTGAATCCTGGTGCCTTCAGTGCTCCCACCCCTACCCTGGGTCACAGGGATCAGGCACCAGGGTTGCACTCCTCTGATTCCCAAAGTAATGGAGTTTGGGGGCCTCTTTTCAGAGAATCTCCCCCCATCTCAGAAGACACTTGCCATATTCCTCATTGTTGTATTCTTCATGGTCATCATTGGTTCTGTCTCCATGACTTTTTCTTCTTCCAAAGAAAACTACTGAGAAACAGAGGTAAGAGACGGCTCTGTCCTTAGGCCTTTAGTCCTTCCATCACCCACCAGACCCTCTGATTGTTGCTGTGAGAGGGATCTGAGGATCCCTGATCTGCTGGACTTGGGCCCCTTCCTTGCTCTGGCCCTGGCTGAGGGACCTGGGAGTTGCTGGGATGACAGAGAAACTTCTGAGCAATCTCTGTGAAGTGTTGGCTGGTCAAAGATGATTATCCCCTGGGGGTCAGAGGGAGGGACTCTTGGGGAGAAACCTCTTAGCCATGCTCTCCCCTCAGCCTAATCCTCCACATACCCCCATCCTAGAACTGGTTTCTGGGTTACTTTCTAGGCCCAGGTGGAGGGATGGGGATTGCTGGGGCTGCCCTTGGCCAGGCAGCCTATTCCCAGAGCTGGTCCCTTCAATCCCTGAATGTGGACCTGGTCTCAGGTACCACCCGCCCCTGTCCATCCCTGGATGTCCTAGTCTGCTCTTCCTTACTCTCAGCCACCATGACCCCATACCCAGTCCTTTCCCCAGGCCTACCCACCCACAGGCTGACTCAAGGAATTCAGTCATTTGGAGTTGAATAAATTATTTTAATGAATGATTTCCAGGTGTGGGTGGGACTTTCTCTTATCTGAGTCTAACTTGAGAGAGAAATGATTATTTCTCTTATATTAATAACTAATTATTAATCTATCAATTATCACAATACAATAATATAAATAATATATAAATATAAAATTTGTCATTAATAATAATTAATAATTAATATTGAGATTAAGATTTTTTCTATTTCCTCATTCAGAAACAAACTCCTCTAGTTTATCCAGCCAGTCTTTGAATGACATTACTGACCTTGCCCAAAATTTTACCCCACCTATTTAGATGGGATTGTTCCCCCACCCAGCTAGAAAAACTTTACAAAGAGAATGTGATTTAGGTGAATTCCAGCTTATTATGTTCTACTCAAACAGGATTGGGTGGGGGTGGTGGGTGTAAAATCTTTTTGTATAGATTACTCAGGGGAGTGTGCTGGCTCTAGATGAGTCTCTCTTTGTCCATGAGTGACAGAATCCAAGTCTTGTCCTCCAGCCCCTCATTGGAATAGGCCCACCATTGTAACATTCATTCTCTCCTTAATTGTTAGCCAGTCAGATTTGATTTGGAAACACTCACTTTTCCAAGGGTATAAAAAGGTCGAGAGGCCTCCAGGAGGGGTCTTTGGTTTACCAGAGAAAGCCAAGTGAACATCCTTGCATTAATTGTTCACTAGCCATAATTAATAAATAATTAGTTACCCAGGACCTAAGTCTCTCCAACTTTTCATGCATCATACTTCTCTGCTCATTGAAGCAGCCTGATCCCAGGTGCCTGCTCATTTCACCAGCCTCCTGACAGCCCTGCTCCCATCACTGCCTCCCTGCCTCCAGCTCCTCTGTTCTGAATGAGGCAGCATCCTGCCCATGCTTCTGCCCTGGTAAACTGAGGCTCTGACACTGAGAGGGGATAGCTGGATCTTCCCCCAAGAGCCATATCCTGAAGGCAGTTGTAATGTATTAGAAACCCACCTCCTCCTGATTTGTGACCTGTTGCCAGGTCCTCTGTCCCTTCACTTGTCAGGCATTCTACCCCATCCTCTGCCAGGAAGATTTTTATTTGTCCATTTGAATTGGTCTTTTCAATTTGTATTTGTTTATAGAAAACAACTTATTTCTATTTTAAATGTTTCTTTAACATTTTTATTTTCCAATTTTGTTTTCATACATCCTGTCTGGTGACCCTGGGCTAGTCACTTACCTCAGTACTCTCTAAGACTAGAGGTAGCAGAGGAGGCACAGACCAGCATTGCCATTGGAAATTCCTCCTCCAGAATTCCCTAGACCAATGAAATCCCAACCAATTCCCTTATCCTTTAAAAAATCGGTTATATTTACTTTTTTAAATGTTCTATTATTTTTTCAAACATTTAGCTTAAATCTCTATTGTTTTAAATGGTTATTTCTTATTTTTTCATTTAAATTAAATTTCATTTAAAAAGGTATTACATTTACTTTATCAAGATATTACTAACCCTTATAAAACAATTGACTTTGTTTCATTGACAGTATTTCCATTGAGAGGTATTTCAAAGTAAGCAATTCCAGAAGGAGGACAGAGAAGCAGCACAGACAAGCAGGGACCCCCCTGCCTCCCCTGAGGATCTCCAGCTCCCCAAAGGCTGCCAGCCAGAGAATCTATCTCTCTTCACTGATACAGAAAGGGGAAGGTGGGGCAGCATGACTGATTGGGGTGTGGGCCCAAGCTAAGATCTTAGCCCTGAATGGGATGTCCCAGTGAAGACTCCTCAGTGTAATTAAGGTTTGGGATAAGGCTGAGTGGGATGAGGGGTCCTGTGAAGAGTTTTTAGAAGAATAAATAGACATTGTATTGTGACTCAAGGCAGGCATAGCAGCTGGACAGGCCTAAGTTTCAATTTACTAGAAATCACCTGATTTACAGGAATCCAGCCCCAGGTACACCCCCCCCCATGCCCCTTTATGCCATTGTTAAATCCTTGAAATACCCCCTGTATTTTGTTGGTACACCTGTTGCTATATTTCAGTCATGGTGACCTTAATACCAGTACAGCGTCTAGCTTGACTAAACATTTTTAATTGCTTCTTACATTGAGATTGTGAGCCACGTAATGGACAGTTGGTGGGAGGGGAGAATTTACCCATTAGGGCTATTTAATCTGGTTCTTAGCTCCTGTAATCTGCCTCCCCTCATCAGATCATTCTGGTGGAGGGAGACCCTGTTCTCGAGAATAGTAAATGAATTAACTTTCTGTTTTTCCTTGAAAAACTTCTAAGCCTGTTTTTTAATTTGAGTGGCATCCCACACAGCCCCTTGCCCCAAAGGGAATCTGACTCCCATTTGTCTACAGGCCCCACCCCTCATCTCCCTTTGAAAGCCTTAGCCTTACCTTTTAATCTTATTCAGATGTGCCTTTGCAAAAGAATCTGGCTCCCTTTTGTCTATGGGGCCCAGAAAGCCCTTACTTTGGCCTCAAATGGTTCCTTAGACTCCCCTTATCTCCCTTGGAGAGCCCTAGCCCCACCCTTTGATCTTGTGCATCTGCCTTTCAAACTTCTTCCTTCCAGTTCCCTTCATTATCTATTCCCATTGTCTATTCAATCTCTCAGACCTTCCAATTGGAATTCTCACATAGACCCTTTTCCCAGCCCCCTCCCCTGGCCACCCAAACTTACCTTATTGTATAAAAAATCTACCTCAGTCCCAAAAGGCTGAGAATTTCTCATGCCTGCTCCTCCTCACAGACATTACTGACATTCAGCTAATAGGCTGAGACCTCTCATGGCCCAAAGGCTGAGCTTTTCTCATGCCAATTGTCCTGTCACCTGGCCTATATGTTTTATCACTAATAAACTTTTCCTCTGGCTGGAAGAAGATTTGAGTTGAATTCTTTCAGGCAGGTCCTGGCATTGCAATTGTGGGGTTCCAAGCAGCACCCCAAAACCTCTAGACCTCTTCATGACCACAGAGCAGCATCTATAAAACCCCCTTCTTTTGTGCCCCCTTTTGCTGTCTTGGAATTCCAGCAATGGTGGACAGGTAGTCTTTTTCTTCTCCATGCCCCCACCTCCAGCATCAAATATAGTGGATTGTAGCTTATAGATGCCTTGGCCTAGAACCAGAGAGATTGTGAAATCTCTGGCCACTTCTGCCTTTCCATTTCCTCCTTGAGCACTGACCCTCTGAAGAAATGAGCATTTTACTCCCTTGGTACAATCATGGAGGGTAGAGCCTTCAGAATTTCGCATTTGGTTAAGAGTTGCCAAGAACTAGATTTTTGAAGAAGCACCCTGCTCCCAAGTAGGATAGCCACCTCTGAACTGAAGTACAGAGGGCCATGCTGGGCTGGCCAGGAGACCTGGACCCATCTACAAAGCCTCTCAGTGCAGACCCAAAGTTCATCTGAAATACCTGTTCAGAAGCTGTGTGACCTAGGACAAGTTCTTGTCTCTCTCTGATCCCCTTCCTTTATCCCTCAGGCTGTGAGAATAACCTGTGGGCCTCCCTCTCAGGTAGCCAGGAGGCTCACAAGATCCTTGTGATGGAACACTACTGTGCTGTAAGAAATGATGAGCAGCAGCACGACCTCTATGCAGAAAAGTGAACTGTAGAAATTCATTACTACTCCAACAAGAAGCCCCTTTAAGAGCGGTTATCCTTGAAACTGGCAGAGCATTTTACAAGAGCTCTGACCTGGATGGGGTAAACCTCAGTGCACTGCCTTTCTTTTGCCCCAGTATTACTAGATTGAAGAATTGCTGCTTCTTGTTAGGAGGTTCATTTCATTTCCCATTGCTCTCAACTTCATACTTAAAGCGCTGAGAATTTCAAGTGGAGTATAGTGAAGGAGACTTCAGTTTCTTTACATCACTTCTGTATTCAAATTTTTGAATCCTTTCATAACCTTATTGACTGTTTTTTAACTAAATTGACGTGGCTCGAATGAACCGCCCAGCTCCTGCGGAAATCACCTACGAGAACATGAGGTTCCTTATTACACACAACCCAACCAATGCAACCTTACACACATTTATAGAGGAACTCAAGCGGTAGGGAGGTACTCTTACAGTCGTAAGAGTAAGCTACTTATGACACAACCCTTGTGGAGAAAGAAGGCATCCAGGTTCTGGATCGGCCTTTTGATAATGGAGCACCACCATCCAACCAGACTGTTGATGACTGGCTAAACCTAGTGAAAAGTGAATATCGTGAAGAACCTGATTGTTGCGCTGCTGTTCACTGCGCTGCAGGTCTTGGGAGAGCTCCTGTGCTCGTCGCCCTTGCGCTAATCGAAGGAGGAATGAAGTATGAAGACGCAGTGAAATTCATAAGACAAAAACATCGTGGAGCCCTTAACAGCAAGCAACTCCTTTACTTGGAGAAGTATCGTCCTCAAACGCGGCTGCGCTTCAAAGACTCAAATGGTCCCAGAAACATCTGTTGCATTCAGTAAAGCTGAGCTGCCTGTATTATCGCCTTGGAAGCAGAAATTGAAGATAAGACCTGGGGCAAATTCCATACATAACTAGCCAACATACAGGCTTGCTGAATAAGTCTAACGAAGCTTCCATAGGAATATTTTAAAACGATTTTATAGGTTACAGGCTTGGCAGAAATGCGGCTTCTGTCTTTGGATTACTAATAACCTGTTCGGACACTTAGTAAAAGATTCTTGCTGTTGAGCCTTTGAAACTTATTGTGTATCATTTGTATCAATTGAACTTTCCTGAAATCATGCCGTATTGAGTTACGAATCTTACTCAAATCTATTTCCCAATACCAGAGTCTTACCAGCAAATATGAAAATTTAGAGAGATTAGGTGCCAAAATACCCAGCACAATGCTTAAATATTTTCAATATCATACAGAACATCCTGGAAACTACAGACAGTAACATGAATCCTATGTGGTTCCTATTCCTTCAGTCATTTCAATATTGAAGATAGGGCCTATATGGTAATTGCCGGCTCACTGTATGTTTACATCTCCCACAGTCGCACTAGAATATCAGGATTTGCACAACCATTCATTTTGTTGGATTTTACTAAGTCTTATGGTAATACTTTAATGTCTTTCTGTAAACCTTTGTCTCATTTTGTGCTGTTATCAAGACCTGCATTTTGAAAAAAGATCATACATAATTCTCTGGTTGAAAATCCAAGTAAAGATCTGCACATTGTACAGAAGCACACAAAGTCTTTAATGTCTCCAGACAATTAGCCTTACAGTTAATTTAACGTTCACACGGATGGGGTGCAACTCGACAGGGAGGGCCTGACAAGGATGTGAGGGGGCTATTAAATATTTCTAGTAAAATGTTGCCTTTGTCTTGTGCAGGAAGTATAGAATATGCCCTTTACTTTAGTAAATATTTTTTAAAAGGTAGAGATGCTTTGTTATTGTAGCTAAAGCAATTCTTAATCATAGAATTCTGAAAATCTTGTAATTTCTTTTACTGTACCTATTGAAAGCTGTTTACCAACTATGGCTTTTGTTGAAAGTGATTTTCTCCCCTCTTTCCCCATTCTTCTTTCCCCCCCCTCCCCTGGGAAAAAAAAATTGGGTTCCTGCTATGAATTGAGCAGACCTCTAATATTTTGTATGCCTTTTGAGCTTGTGTAACTTAATATTTGGATACTTGATAATTTGTTTTATTATGTAATTGATAAAATGGTGATGGGTATTAATGTTAGTTCAACTATATATTTATACTGTCTTGGGAATGTGTGGTTACAGTTCTGTGGGAGAAATAATTTTCCAGTGTTCACCAGCTTGTAAAATGTAGTGCGAGAGCTTAAACAACTAAATAAATAAGTACTGAAATGCACTTAAAAAAAAAACAAAGAAATGATGAGCAAGCGGACTTCAGAAAAACCTGGAAAGACTTGTCTGGACTGATGCTGAGTGAAGTGAGCAGGACCAGAAGAACATTGTACACAGTAACAGCCACATTGTGCAATGTGGACTTTGACATACTTAGCCCTTCTCAGCAATGCAAGGATCTAAGACATCTCCAAAAGACTCATGATAGAAAATGCTATCCACATCCAGAAGAAGAAGTATGAATCCTGTATGTAGATCAGAGCATACCATTTTCTCTTTTTTTTCTTCTGTTTTGTTTCGTTTCCTCTTTCTTGTGGTTCCTCCTGTTGGTTCTAGTTCTTCTTTACCACATGACTAATGTAAAAATATGTTTAATAGGAATGTATATGTGGAGCCTAGATCAGATTGTGCAACGTTTTGGGAAAGGAGGAGGGGAGGGAGGGTGAGAAAATTTAAAACTCAAAAGCTTATGGAAGTGAATGCTGAAAACCAAAAATAAATAAATTAATTTTTTAAAAATTAAAATTCATGTAAATTGAGAGGATGCCCATCAATTGGGGAATGGCTGAGCATGAATGTACATGAATGTAATTGAATACTATTGTGCTATAAGAAATGATGAACAGGCTGACTTCAGAAAAACCTGGAAAGACTTGTATGGTCTGATGGTGAGTGAAGTGAGCAGAACCAGGAGAACGTTGTACACGATAACAGCCATGTTATGCAATGACTAATATTGATAAACCTAACCCTTCCCAGCAATACAAGGATCTAAGACATCTCCAGAGGCCTCGTGATGGAAAATGCTATCCACATCCAAAGAAAGAACTATGAAAGTTGAATTGCTATCTTTTTTTTTCTCTTCTGTTGAGTTTTGTTTCCTCTTTCTGATGGTTCCTCCTATTGGTTTCAGTTTTTACTTACAGCATCACTAATGTGAAAATATGTTTAATACGAACGTAAATATATAGCCTATATCAGATTGTGTGCCAT